ACATGGACACTGAATGCCAAAATGTATAAAATTCAATTGCTGGAATAAAGGAGCACTTTTTGCCCATGCAGGCAGTAGAGATCTGTTGCGAGATTTGTGGGTGCGTGTATGATGTCATTCAGAGGCTTGCTCCGGGGTTTCTATCAGGTCAGGCAGGAGGCTGCTGTGGGCCATGGGAAAACGGCTTTGGGGAACAGGTGAATGTGTCACAGAGCCTTTTCTGAGCCTCCGTCGTTTGCTTGTTCTCCCACATGTCCCATTTTCCCATCTAGCTGATGCCAAAACACTGTAGGGCAAGAACTCATTTCCAAAAAAATTCATCTGCATTAACTCAAAGAAAGAAAAGCTCCAGATTTCTGTTCAGAGGCACAACATAAGAATATGGATATGGTAATATATTAATTGGCCATATATATATTTTGTTTTTCAGCATTATTTTGAAAAGAATAAACTCTCAACATACAGTACAAATTCGTAAAGCTGCTTTTAAGTTCAAATTTCAGCTCAAACTGTTGGGGTTCCTAACATTTATATCATTCAGCTGATGATAAAAGTGTCAGTCTTGACTTAATGATCATGTTGAAGGGCATGATGGCTCTTGAAATAAACAAAGAATGGGGTGGCAGAGTGCAAAGAGGGAGTACTGAGAGAAAGCCCTGGTATGTAGGAGTGTGTTTATCATTTTGGTCCTTCAGGCAATTGTAAGTAGGGGAAGGTGCCTCGAAGGCTGTTGTCCAAGAGGACTTCCCCACCTCTTCAGCTATCTCTCCAAAGGTTTGTCTTTTCCAGTCCTGGCAACAGTGCAGAAAAGCTGAGGAAGAAAAAGGGACTGATTGTTTTACGGGGCGCCACTGGTCCATTGTGAATGCAGCCTGTTCTTTCTCTTGACCTGTGACCTGTATTGTTGTGGGGTTTCGTGTTTGGGGAGGGCAGACAGCTGGGGGAACCGCGGGGGACTGATGGACAGCTGGGCCAATTTGTGAAAGAGAAAGAAGAGCGCGAGCATGAGAGAGAGAGATGAGAGAGGGAAAGGAGAATCACTGTGTTGGGGTAAAAGGAAAAGAGGAAAGAGAAGAAAAGGGCAGATGAGGTGACTGAGGTCCTTGCTCCTCATTCATAAGTCTGTCCTTTCTGCTCTTGTGTGTCTGCCTTGGCATAGGAATGACACATAGCTTTACACACAGGCAGACGTTTGGCCCGTGAGAAAGCACTGGCAGAAGTACTGGTGCACACTCTCTTTGTGTCTTTGCTATTTTGTTACAGCAAAAACGGATGTGGGGGGGTGGGGGTGGGGGGACAGGGTATGTGGATTATCCATCCTGACTCCAAATACATGAGTGGGTGGAAATGAAAATAATCCAAATAAATTAACTTTGGATACAAGATTACAAAACAAGAGATGTAGGGGATTGGAGCATGGTAATAATGAAATAGTTGGATAGTTACATGGAACAGTTCAGGAAGATATAATCAACATTCAAGCTGTTCTATGTATTCAATTTTTACAAAAAATTTAAACTTTACAGTACTTTATGGGCAGCAAATACAGACTGCGTTTATCAAGTGGCTCTTACCATTAATGGGAAGGGAACACATGTCCAGCACTGCTATCATGGCTGAGGCTGCCAGGCAGGGGAACATGACATGTAGCACAGTCCCTCTGGGAGTGTGAGGTCATGTCAGATCAGATCAGAGGACTTAGGAAGCTGTGCTCAGCCCTTGAACCCTAAACTTCTGTTGTCTTTGTGGTTTTTATTTATATGCATATTATAGATGTCAACAATATGAGCTTTTATTACAACAAGAACTCTTATGGCACTTTGCCAGTGAAAGTAGACATCATGAATAAAAAACCGAATAGCACAAAATATGAGCTAACAAAGTTTATGAAGTGCAGTATAAAGCTTGTTCTTGTACGTCTCTATTTTCTTAGTTTCTTTGTGGAGTATGCGTAATGTACTGGCCAAACAAGAGTGGCTTGCACTAAAATGACAAGGTCCTGATCCATATGCACTAGATAGAGGGATAATGTATTGTTTTTAAGACTGTACTAATGGGGCCATAGGAAGCTAGAACACTTTAATCAGTATCTGTGTGCCAGTAAACTCTTTGCCTTTGAGCTTGGGCAAAACATAGTGGACCCCCCCGTGGGCCACAGGGTGCATGCACAGATGTACACACACACACACACACACACACACACACACACACACACACCTCTGGGAGAAGCAGAGGGATATGAATGCCCAGGTTGAGAGGTGGAGCACCCTGAAACAGAGACACCCTAGACTTAGAGGAGCAGCTGGTAGAAGAAAGAACCAGAAGATATATGGAGACAGAGATGTGGCCAGAGACAGAAGAAAGCAATGAAAGATGGCGAAGCTACCATCGTAAGAAGATGTAAGTTTTGGAGGATGGGGAATTAAAATGATTGAACCTGGGCTGGACATGGCCAACATGATGAAAACAATGAAATATAAATAAATAAATAAAACTTTTCCTGATCCTGGTTTCATTACCAGATGACATCAGACTAGACAGCCATTTAAAAACATAGCTTTAAGTAATAAATGTTCAAGAATGGTTCTTTGTCAGTATTATTAAAACCATCACTGTACAATTCAAATGAATGCGTTAATATAATCAGAGTAACAATGTTTGTTCTATTATGGCAAGAGAATGAGAAAAAAAGGAGATGTACATGGGAGGGGAGGATAGAGGGCAGCTCGCAGGCTCATTACCTATGAGAGTGGGTGTAAAAGGTGACATTGTGTGCATGAGGATAAGGGGTGGGCTTTCTCCTCCCAAAGTTCTGTGAGAGTATTAGGGTGTAGGAGTTAAAGAGCTTCTAATGGGATCTGGATGCTGTCGTGTTTACCCTGGCCCCCCCTCTGCACGCCCACCGCATTGTGGAAGTTTCGGAGCTTTGGGACACCACAATGAACCGAGTATAGGGACAGATGGAGGTCCCTTTCGAAGAGGGTATAAAAAACAGGCAAGGTAGGAGGGCCATGGTGCATGAGAGAGCAAGCAGTCAGCACGCCCTATTGCCAGAGACGTGGGAGGGTGTTAGAGGTGGTGGAGGGAGTGGAAAAACTGAAAAGGGATTTTAATTTCTTCCTAATTATAATGCAAAAAAGAGTGACTCTTAAGATCCTTTGCTCTGGTAATATGTAAATTCATTGTGATCTAAGCACAATCACGTGGCTAGTTTGGTTCAGAATAACTGAAGTCTATAGGGGTCGGGTGGCCTATGTGCAGGTCAGCCTTTATAATAATTTGTCTTGCTTTGTATTTTCTCATAAGTAGTTTTCAAATTTTAGAGTGTAAAAGATGTAGCATATTTAAATCCTGGGTGGTGAGAAAATATGCCATTTATTTAGCCCTTGTTTATCAAGGGTTAAACCAGGTTGGACAAGAGGGTAAATGCTGATGTCACACATTCAGGGCATCAGTATGGAGCATCAGTAGACTGGCTATGGTGATAGATGGTGAGGAGAGAGGAGAATCACTGGAGGAGGGTAGATGGAGGTAAAGGCCACAGCGGCAACAGATGGGAGCTCAGGATATAAACTTTGTTAGCAAAATCTGTCCGTTTGTCCATCTGTTACAATCACTGCTTATAGTTTGTTTAGTAGAAACTCATTAGAAAACGGTAGTAGAAGGCCATTGGTGCAACCCCCTTTTTCAGTGTAATCATTAGATCAGAAGAGAACCAAATCTAAGTGCAGTGGTGCATTATAGACAAGTCATTTTGATGGGTTACTATATATACACACACTTAACAAAAAAGGCAAAGCCCCCACCCTCATTCAGAACAGTTTTAAACCATTATCATGGATAAGCCCGTCTACCTGTGCCACTCAGGAACATACGTCAGGCTATGATAGTCTCTTCTCTCACAATTTGTGGACTGACACGAGATGTGGTTATGAGCACTGATTCAAGCTACATTAGCAATTACTGTAAACAGGTTTCTTAAGTTGTGTGTACATATGAAAATGCACCATGAACCTAAACATCAAACCTAACACATCAGTAAAACTGATTTTTTTTTTTTTTAATCTGGTACATTTTGTGGATGTTCCCCTCTACACACAGTCTCCATCTATCTACAGTATAATGAATACATTTGACTATGAGAGAAAAATAAAACTGAGTATTTCAAAATGGCATTGATTTAGGAGCATAAAAAAAAAAAAATCCTGATAATTGAACCATAGTTTCACTAGTTATGTTACATGGGTTGGTTTTTTTTTTTTTGGCTAAAAATAGTCTGATCTGCAAAGAGCGGATAAAGGAGAGTTAAGCAGGGCTCAGGGGCCACCGTGTTACATTACACATTAATCCAGAACAGTGGAAGGTTGGAGAAGCTATAGCCTCTTTTAATCCTGTACTCCATCCAGCCAGCCCTCCGATCAGATGGAGAGACTCACACAAACTCAATCAAACATCCTGTGGCAAAAGTTTACATCAACTTTGACAACTACTTTTACTGTTTAAACTTTGTTCTTAAAGAGCAGTGATATGTTATACTGTGGCAGAGCTTTGTGTTACTGTATGTGCATCTTTTCTAAGTTCCATTGGCAGCTGCAGCATCATTTAGTTTCCTAAATCTCTGTCCTTCTCACAGGGCTAGGCAAGTGTCCTGGTGAGCCCTCTCAGTGCACACTGTCTCCCTATATGTAACAGATGTTACTGGGGCAACAGTTGGTATTGAAAGGGAGGGGCTTCAGGCCATCTGTCCAGGGTCAAGGTTTAAAAGGGGGTGGTAGAGATGGTGGCACGTTCCGGCAAATTGTAAGTATTTGGTTGAAAAGAGGGAATATAGCACACATTGTAATTCTGCTCAATGTGTGCTTTCATTTCAGATTGCCTTTGTGAGAGTTCTGAGTGAGAGATTTGGAACCTTGAAAAGTAAATCTGACACTGGAAAACAGCTGCTTTAGTACAAAAGCGCCATCTTGTGGTTAAACACAATATTACAAACAAAGTGTAAAATTCCTATAAACTTTATTGAATAAATACTATGCCGCCTTGCTACAGCATTAAAATCAGTGTAGTACTAAAATCACAATATATAGACAGGAATTTAGATTTCAATCCCCATCTGGGATTTAAGGTTCTGAAGGGTATGGTCTATGTCATCTCGCAAACATGCCATCTTCTTATGACAAATCTTTGCCTGGGGGGTAAAAGAAGCACATCATTGAAAAAGCTACTGCATTAGCATTTACACATGTAGCAAGGATACTTACAATATAGACCTTTAGCCTCTCCTTTTCCATTTGATAATATTCATTCACAGTCAGCTCAGTGAAGTCTTTCTTCATGGTTAAGAATCCACAGTTAGGGGAGCGTTTAATGTGTTCAAACCTGGACAGACAAAAATATTATAGATAAAGAAATGTGTCAGCAGAGTGTGGCACACAAAATGGAATGATATCCTCAAATAGTCCAGCTCAATCAGCATACAACTTTGAAAAAAGCAGCACTAATTAAATCCAAGTAGAAATTTTTAATAGTTAACTTTTCATGGTCTCTGGTGCATCAAAATTCCCTTCATGACTATGGTTAACACAGTTGTGAATAATACAGATGTTAAAAAAATCTGATCTGAAGCCATTGTACTGGCTTACACTACTGGCATAATATTTTTAGGTGTCTCAAATGCTTATATGAATGTAGGTAAAGTAAAGGCCTACGTTTCTTACCAGGGATCGTCATCAGGCTCCCAGCCCTCAAGCTCGAGCAGACAGTAGAAGCAGCAGGCAACATCAGGCTCGTTCTCACTGGGGCAGTGGACGAAGCCAGCCTTGGCCATCTGCAATGACAAACAGCAACAGATGCTTCGATGTCTGAAGCACTTTCTTACTGCAAACAGATGAATCACAGCACTAAATTAAAATATTTTTTATGAGGTCATAACTCAATGGCAAAGATGACAAGCACAATAAAAAGCAACAAGCCAGAGCAGCAGGAAGATGAGAGTCGGTGAAATAAAATCTGATGATCTCCTTTTGGCTCTTGGGTGATTACAAGCTGGTAACATAGCAAATAGTGTTTTTCATCAAGTGAGGTGTCAACAGTACATCAATCATGACAAGACTAGGGTGGGCAAAGACTGTTATGGCCAAATGATCCTATGTAAACCAAGTCAGAATATTCTCATTCAGTAAGTCATAGTCATTTACAGAGTAGGTTCATGTAAATTAGACTGTAGGGCAGAAGATGTGTCCAACACATCCTGTGTGAAATTGCATGTCCAGACTGATCTCCTGTGAGCCACATCTTATAGTTAGTGCCTTCCTTGCATATTCCCTTCTTGATTAAATACACTGTGCCACTGCACTGTGAAAATACTTTAGAATAGATGTTAATAAATGTTCTGAAGTGCCAAGACTTCTCAGGATCTCTGCTACAGCACAGCAGCCTCCTTACCTTTTCAGGTGTGCATTTACATTCCTCTCTAAATGGCCAGTCAGCAAAGCTTTGTTCACGTAATTCATGTTTGTACATTTTGTCATAAAAGTTAAATCTGTCTGTCAGTACATTGGTGGTGGCCATATCTTCAGCAGAAACAGGCTCAGCCAAATGTATCTAAATCGCACTATCAGTGTTGTTGTGAACTGACAATCCAAACTGCCCAGCATGCTTCCACAGGTGTTTTCAGTGTTGGCTGATTAAAAGTTACTGGGTTGCAGATGGGCGGAGCTGAGAAGGGGATGTGAGGACACCAAACTCCATGTACATGAGGTCTAACTGGGCCCAAGTACAGTGGGCCAAGTTTGCACCATTTAAATATGGTCTATGTAATTTCACAGTTACTTAACACTTTAAATGTGTTTGGTATGTTCTAAATGCACGACTACTACAAGTAACTTGGTCTCAGTGCTGCACTGCATTTTGTGGTCTGTTTATAGGTACACCAAGCTACATTTAATGTAGTCTGACACAATAGTCTTATAATAAAGCCTCCCTTCATGAAGATGATAGTTGATAGATCTGTTGGTTGATCATTTTGGAGGATGTAGTTTATGGTGCTACTGAATTGTATTGCATTATAGCCTACTGACAGGTGTTTCTTTTATTGTTTCCACTTCATTTATAACAGTGATGGTAGGCTACATAACTGAAATACATCTCTGTGTAATGCAGCACAAGGAGAAATTATTACAATGAACAAAAATTCTTTCAGTGTACATACAGGCATTGTTCTAGGACAGATTTTTTAAAAATGTGAACCTATTCTCAATGGACTCTTTCTACTGAAGCATTTAAGTTTTACAAGCTCATGAAATCTATCATTTTGTTCAAACAATGGAGTCAAATCAAGTGTTAAAAAATATCAAAATGGTGACACCAGCTGCTATATGTAATCGTCATGTAAAACTGGAGAAAGTGGAGGAACTTGACTCCCCCTGTTGGCAATTGAGAGAAAGTGAAGTTCATCTCCTCTGTCTGGCAAAGTCTGGGTTTACATTGTGTATCTGTAACACTACCACTCAGGCCCCTGGATACTGAAATGTGCTTACAACTGTAAGCTGCTGTCCTTTTCCCCTTCTAACATTGTCCTCTTGCAGAGTGCCAGAGGGGGCACTGGCACACATGCACCTGCTTACAAGGCTGAGAGTGTATGATTTTCACACTGGGTCCCACATGCTAATAGCTGGGAGCCCCCAGAGAGGTGATAAGGGCTTATTGAACAGTAGGTGGTAGGTACACTTACTGTATATCTGATGACATGTCACTGTGGCTCCAAGTGGACTGTATGGTGGGTGGCATACTGCAGACAGTACAGAATAACATCTGCCTCTGAATTTCTGCGTGTGTGTTATTGTCACTGTTTTTTCCATACATTCAGGTTTTTGATGTTCTTCCTCAACATTGGTATAAGGTTCACATATCTGCCCTCCTTCATGTTCAAGTTTGGGCTGAGAGGAATCGTCTTGCTAATGAGAACTTCAGTAATAAAGTTCCATAACAGCTGTTTAAAGAGGTTTAAGAAAGTGTTTGGTTACTTTCCTTTTGCTTATGGGTGGAAACTGAAAACTCATAACCACAAATAATCTTTTGATTTCCTCTGCCTACTGTATCTCACTTTTCCTCTTCATGCCCTCACTGACATTTGACTCCCTTTCCTCCCATCCTCTCTGCTATGTTGTTCAACTCTCTGCTCTCTCTTTCTTTTGACTTAACTGCCCTCACTCATTAGGGTCTGTCACGATTAGCAACTGGAATCTCCTGCTCACTCTTAGTTTTCACACAGGGCTGAGACTGAGAGAGGGAGGAGACAGGCTGTAGGGAGGTGGAGAGGAGGTGATAGAAGCTGTGTGTTTGTGGTCTGCGTTTCCACATGTCCTTTGCCATCCTGGGTCTAAGGTGACATTGTTTGAATATGCGGCTCTTGAAATTTATTTGATTTAATTAAAGCAGTTGAGGATCTTTCCAGCTGTTGTATAGGGTTGGAGATTGGACTCCTTCAGTAAGAGCAGCACGAGGACCACAGGTGCAATCAATGTGGAGCACAGGTATGTAAGGAAACTGTTACCATCCACTGCTAGTGCATCTGTCTGCTTCCATTTACATACTGCCTACATCCAATACACTGGAAAATTTCTTGTTCCCCTGTAGTAAATTTGTCCTGTTTATTATATGGATTTTTGATGCTATAAATATACATATATTACATTAATACATTGTTGGAATGCATGACTAGATAAATATGTGTATGGGTGTGCATGTGTGTATGACTGAGCTTCTCTCTCAGCTCAAAAATATTCACTTGACCCTGTTCTGACAGCTCCACCCATCCTCTGCTCCTTCAACCAGGCTGAACACTGCACATGTGGACCACGTTTCCTGTGTGCACATGCTTATGTACAGTATGTGTTAATATGTAGAGCTAATGAATAGTTGACTGGGCTGAGGATGGTCTGAGCTTTAAAAATAAACTATGATCTATGGGGAGGATAATTCCTTCAAACTGCTATGTTCTAAAATACACTCAGCTCTGAGCAGTGATGACTAGGAATGTGTCAGCCTAAAGTATTTAGTCCAGGAAAAGCATCATAACAGACTGTGTACTGTCTGTGCAGCAACTGTAGCAAAGTTTCTACAAGTGTGAGCCCCAACTAGTTATGGCGCAAATGTGCGATCTGAACACGGTTAGAAAGAAGGACGTTCTGTCCTCTGAGTGTGGTGTAAAAATGTTAGGGATGTGTGAGAGTGTGACAGTCAACCTCAACATTCTCCATCTCTGTATGCAGGCGTGGATTCACAGGACAGGCACACCCACCTGTGTACACACACCCATGAATTGTCACAAAACCCAGAGTTTGTAATTGTTTTTTTGTTTTTCTTTTTCAGTATTTATGTATTCCTTCAAATTCTGTGAAGCTGTAGTGGTATTTTGAAAAAGATGATCAAGTACCAAGTAAATCATACAGGTAATATTTACATAAAAAGGAGTGATACCAGTAGCTTACATAAAATTAAACAATTAGTGGCATACAAAACTTAAATAATGACAGAAATAATCATAATCACAACAAGAAAGTGAGAAAAATTTGTTCTTTATTAAAATAAAGAAGAAATAAATATGACTTCCATGAAGACGCCTTTATTTATAACAAGCATTTACAGTATAAATTCTTTTGTCACCTCTGTCTGATGATCACTTTGAGTGTACTCTTCTTCTGAAAAGGTAACGGATTTTTGGGATAAATGTTTTTAGTGTATTGTAGGCTTCTCTCCTATGCTTTGCCTTTTTTAACAGTTATTTTCTAACCACAAACAATCCCATTTTTATATAACAACTAAAACATAGCCTTTGTATTTTGATTTATTAAAGTCTGTCCTGGAGACAAGAATGAATACATAGGAAACTGTACAGCTGACCACAATTTCTGTGCATATGTACACCTGATCAATAGTCTAAATTTAGTGAGATGATTATCCCTCACAGTTGCAAACTGATATGTTTAACTGCCAGACTTGCAGTCTCAGGCCACTTCAAGGGGAATGTAAAGGTTGCTCATACTGAGCTAACTTACATTTTGATGGCATGTCGACTGTGACAGGCTAAAATTTAGAAATATCTATCTATCTATCTATAAAGAGAGAGAGAGAGAGAGATACAGTGTAAACTGTGACTTTAGTAAATGCTTTGCCACATTATAAAGGGAAATGCAAATATACTGCCTGGCCCCTTCACATTCAACCTTCATAAGCAGTCTCTAAATTCACCACCACGGTGCCTGGAGACACCCAAAGCATGATATATAACCTAATGACCTAGGTGTGGACTGTGTATCAACAAAAATCTTTTCTTTACACCATGCAAGCAGACTATTGAAGACGAAAAAAGGGCAAACTAACACTTCTGGAAAGTCACACGGTGCCTGCAGGTCCAGGTTCATGAAATATGACTAGAATTTATGATCAACAAAGGTTCCATTTTGACACTGTGTTTGAGCTGTCATGAGGAAGTGAGTGTTGCATGGATCTCACTGAGAGAATAGATTTACTGTGTGTTTCCCCTGCAGGAAAGAATGAAAAGGACAAGTCGTACTTTATGATTGGTGCAGTTTGATATGCTCCTTCCCTCAGGTTTGATATATGTATCTCTCATAGCCTGTTTCTGCACATCAGCTGGCTAAGTAGACATAAATCCTACAGACTCAGCAGTCATTCATTTCACATTCAAAGTTCTGCACTCTGTGCACTTTGCCTAATTCACCATTTTGCAGATAAAAACTGTTCCAGTAAGGATACTGGCCTCAGCCACTTTGTCCAGTCTGTTAGGTAGATTTCTGCTTGAGTAAGGTATTTCTGATTCAGTCTGACAGGCCATCAACACTATACCAGCTGTGCCCTGTGTTGGTTTGAATTAGAATCATCTTTAATATCCAAGTATGTTTGACCATACAGGAATTTGACTGAGGTACAGAGGCTTCCAATGTGTTGTAAGGCAACAGGAATAGAAAGTAACAATGAGAATAAAAATAAAAAAGTAGATCAATCAGAATAAGAATAAACGGTGTGGTTCCTTTATCCCTTTTACACCTGTGTGTGTTGACATGATTCAGATACAGTATTGCCCTCCCAGTTTACTTGGGATCATTTTTCATTAAGGAACTTTTCCAGATTACTGTCTAGAGCTGGAATACTTCGACAGATTCCAGTGTCTGTTGACAGGGAGTCAATCTTGTGTTAACAGATTTAGACCAGTAGAGGGCAGCATAGATTAACCAGTACTCCCATCCAGACTCAGAAGCTGTGTCTAGAGTACTGAGTTCTGTTTGTTAGGGATTTCACATCATGTTCACGTGTGTAGTTGTATTAACCTTCAGTGTACTGTATAGACAGTAGTAGTTAGCCTAGGAAGCAAAGTTTAATCTGTTGTCCCCTGTAAAAAAAATTCACCGTTAAAAAATCTATTTTAATAATAAGTAAAATATAAAATTTCTTAAAACTGAAAATTTGTCTCATAACAATATAATGAAAAACAACATTGAAAAACAAAAAATATTATAAACACATTCAAATTAATTGCTAGTGTAACTAAAGGTGAGAACATGAAGAAACAGACAACTGGTCTTCAGACTGACTAGGACAGTTGATTTATCTAATGGAGGGCTGTTATTTTAGCTATGTTTTTAACATATCTGTTAACATCGTGTCTCTCATCTATTTTCAAATATTTATTCTTTTCACTGTGAATGCTAGATGGCGAGACAATAAAAGAATCTTGAATACACTTCACCATGTATGGGCTGGATAATAATGATTTAAAGGTTTGAATGGTCCAGTTTTTTGAAGTAAAACCTTATTTTCTCTTTAATTAATACAAAATTACTGAGTTCTTAAAACATTTCCTAGAGAAAGATTTGGATATTTTCTACCTGTGAAAAAAAGCTTTATCATAATATTCTATTATTCCTATTGCTTTGGAAGAGGAATTTAAAGTGAAGTACCTCTAGCAATTGCAGTGAATGGTAAACAAAATGATTACAGGTCATTATTCATTTAAAATATTTTCCTAGTGGCCACTTAACATGTGTCCTGTGATCAACCAGAGGGGATAGAGGTCAGCACAACATCTTCAAAATGTAATCAATGGTAAACACAGGGACCTAATAGCCCAATTTCTCCCCTTTTACTCTGTCATCTTCCTGTCTCTCTCCATCACTCCTCTGCTCACTTACCTGTCCATTAATGCCATCTGTCCTCACACCAGTGGCCCTCACCCCACCCTTGTCTCCTCTCTCTTCTCCTCTGCCTTGTCCTCCCTCCCTTTTCTTGCCTATGGATGATACAGGATCTCCATGCTCCGATTTCACCCTCTCATCATGACATCCATTAAAGTGGCGCAGGGCCCTGGGCCCCCACTGGCCCAACAGCACATTAGCACTCGGCCCATTGAACGCCAACAAGGACCGGCTCTGAATTATTGATACCTACACAACTAATGAGGAAACCCTATCTCAGCTGTTTTGCTGACACACAAACACACACAAATACTCATGGGACGACTTGCACACATATTGATAATAACTATTGTTCCAAGTGTCCCAATTTCAAAAGTAATATTTTCAGTGCTCAGTCCATTTCATGCTGACACAGTGTGTGGTTTACCTTAGAGCCCACAGACTCAAATTCCTTTTTAATTTGTTTGGTTGTTATTTCGCATTATAAGATATTTGGCCCACATCTACATGGATAACTGCGCTAGTTCAATACTCATGTGTATGATAAAATACTAGGCCTGAGATCTTGGTGGCAGATGTGAGAGTGGGATGCTTTTTACATCTTAGCTGCAAGCTATCACATGTTCCATAGCACCAACAGCTTTTACTCAGTGGATTTTTCCCAAACATACAACCTGTAAAAATTTGGGTGAGTATTTGTGGTCCGTAAATGTTTACATGTAATGTAAATGTACTTGCTTAAATGTGTGCAATGAGCTCCTGCGCACAGGAGTATTGGAGGTGTCAGCCAGCCTTTTTAGTATTCACTCCAACACCCTGTGACTCACAGCCTCAGTCTGAGAGCGTGAGAAGGGTGGGGGGATGTGGTGGGGATGGAGATAGAAAGGAAACAGACAGAGCTGGACAGGAGGAGGCACTATGAACAGCAGGCAGCATTTTCTGTAGTCCCAGGCTCATGTGTTTGTATCTGTGTTTGCAAGCATGCTCGTCCACGAGGATGAATTTTTTTGACAGCCTTGATAAGCCTTCTCTTAAGTGCTGAGCTTAACGTTGTGGCTGTGTGATTTTCAAAAGGTTTCCCTCTCTGTCTAGCTTTCCCGTGATTACTCTTCACAGGGGACAATGAAGAGAGGCATATACTGGTGCTTGGACATGACAGCAGACCTTGTCTGAATGGTCTCTTAGTATGAAAGAAGTGGACTATAACAAGCTGGCTATGAAGCTCCTCTTCAATTCATGACTGCATTGCTGTGGTCTACAGTTTGATTCTGTGCAGTTCTTCTCCCACGTCTGACTTTGTTTTTCTCTGTATTCCATTCGCCCAGTCATCTCTTCTTGTCACTCCACGTCTCTTCATCTCTCTGCCAGTTTGTATTTAGTTTAATCTCTACCCCTCCTTTTCCTGCTTCCTCCACGCGGTTGCTTTGTATTTCATCTCTCCTTTTTGCTTGCCCCCTCCCAACTCCCAGTTCAAATTCCATCCCTTTGATGAAAACACATAGGTTGATAAAATGTGTAACCTTGACTGGGTAGATTAAGAGTTGGAGAAAAAACAAGGGAGAAGGACAGAGCTGCACAGATAAAGGTTAATCCTTTAACAAGTCCACATACACATGGAGGCAAAGGACAGGAGGGGGAGGGGGTAATAAACATTAAACACAATAAACAGATCTAACAATCAGGCCTTCCATAAGAGGAAAAGAGTGAGGGGAATGTGGGAAATGAAAGGGAGAGACAGTGGTTTGGGGCGATAGCATTTTCAGTCAAGCTCTGTCTCTCCTTCATGACTTGGACTCTGCATGATGACAAGTGTCTGCTGCTGTTCTCATTGGTCCAGGCTGCCACCAATCAGGGCAGAGGCATGTAAGGTGCCTTAGGTTATACCCAACCCCAAAAAACAAGAAGCAGTGAGGGGGAGAGGAAGCCAGAATGGGAGAGGGAGTGTGTCTTACAGAGAAATACCAAAGCATGCATCGACTTTACAGTGCACTGAAGACCTACCCTCTGGAGCTCCTTCTATAATAACACAGATAAGAAGAAACTGCTTGTCAGCGGTTTGGTGAAGACCACTGCAATTCCTCCTGGCTACTATGGAGAAGAAGAGCTTAGCTTTGTAGTCACCCCCTGTGATTGGCTGTCACACTTTAGGCTCCCCCTCCTCTCTCTGACTCTCCTCTTCTCTCTTTCTCCCTCTCGCTCTCTCCCCTCCCCTCCCCTGCTTCTAACCCCCTCTTTACTGTCCTCAGGCTTACCTGAGCCACAACTGCAGAAACACTGGACCCCCTCCTCCACACACACATACACACACAGGCTCTCTCTGTCTCTCTCTCTCTCTCTTTCTCTTTCTTTCTTTCTCTCTCACACACACACAACCACGCACACACACATACACACACTCAGTGTTTCACCTGGAGAGGGCAGGCGCAAGGGACAGCATGTGCAGCAACAGCAGGAGCAGCAGTCTCTCCTCACATCCAGCGCTGCCTCTATGAGTTGCCTCCATCTGAAAAGTGGTGAGGAACTCTGAAATAAGATTTTGGAGCAATTGACCATTGGCAAAAGCAGGAGAGACGGGGGCAGTAAGGGAGCACTTGTCAACCCAGGGACACCAAAGGCAACACACAGCATGATTTTGGGTGAGTCATGGCTTTTGGATTTTGGAGAGGTCAGTCATGTTGGCGGATCACTAATCCCTGCTTAAACGTGGCCAACAGCAGCTCTTTATTAATAGTGAAATCTGTTTGGTTTTAATTCCATGCAGACCTCTGTCAGTAGTGAGCACTGGCTGAGATGAACCTTCAAATAATGGTTAGTGTTTGTAATTATGATGTGCCATTAATATAGCAGGTGTGAGTGATAACAGTGAAGGTCAAAGAACTGGACTATATCAATATGGACTGTTTGGTCACATGACAAGCCTCCACCACTCACATGTCCTGCCAAAAAAGGTGAATTGACAAATACGGTCATATACCAGCCTACCGATAACCATCCTAGTCAAGGCTGAGCAAACAGATCATCACACAAATGGCATTTTAAAAATATAAACAGATTCAGTCCTTTGCTTGCAGCACAGTACAGCTTTCAGTTATTATACAGGGCTGAGCTGTTCGGAGTCAGCCAGGACTTTCTTCTTTAATATTCTGGTCTCATAGTGGCCATGTCTGAGAGAGGAGATTCTGTGTGTTTTCTGTGCTCTACATAGTCAGCATACAGAGAACAGGAGCTTGCCTCTGTAAATCCAGTCATATGACCGATCCTTTGATAGGAAAAAATGTGTCAGCAACACAAAACATGTCAGCTTGTGAAAGTGATTTAGAGACTTCTAATTTGTGTATGATCATGTCTCTGAGACTGTGTGGTTACTGTGTGTGCATTTGTTTTATAACTGTGTATGTGCTGCTACTTGCACTGCTGGAGAGGCCACTCTGTTTTAACGCATGCCTGGGCTCCGCTTCTCTGCTCCGCCGGCAGGCATGTTTTTCAAACTGATATCTGTAATGATTTTAGGGAGTCATGTAGTGTGAAATGTGAGAGTTTGAAGTATGGACTTTGAAGAAAATGTACTCCTTTGAGCTAAAGGTTATATTATGAGGACCTTAGTAAAGTTTTTCACCAAAAGAATGAGTCACTCTCACTCACTCAAGTTTTTCTTTAGTTGATTTACATTAAGATTTGTGTCATTTTGTTTCTGCCTCTGTTGAGCCTCAGTTAGGCAAGCACCATCTGGATCAGTTTGCCCATAAATGATATTTGACCAGGATATATTAATAGCAGTGTTAACTGTACCACAGTAAGCGTGAGAAGGGTAAATAGTAGGTAAACTTGCTAATCAGAGCAATGATATGAGCTTAGGGTAATTATTACTGGGGGTTTTAGCTGTTTGGTACTACAGTTGTGGTAGAGGTAATGTGCCTTGTGTTGTGCAGTACCATGTGTTCTGCCTTTGTTGTTAGTATACATTCATTACATGTGTACAGCACAGGGTTGCATCACACTGATTGGTGTTTAAACAGTAAATAACGAAGCTCCAGATCTTTCTGTTTTTCATCGCATCTCGTGATTTGTAAAAATCTTCCCCCTTCACATCAACCAAACACGCTGACCTAGACTCTTCTGTATTAAGCTGTCAGTCAGATATCTTCCATTATTTCGGTTTGAACACTGAAATGTTCCTGTGCCAAACATACTGCTCTATTTGTATAATGATGTGGCTGCTGAGTGATTTGACATTTCTGGCTTTTTTTCTCTGGAAAGGGTAATGTCATTGTAATGACCTTTACAATTCTGGTGCTGGCTGATCTGGACCTCCAATCAGCTCTGTTATACATCTGCATGGTTGTGATAACATATCGCTTACAAATGGCAAAATATATTCTTTTTAATAAATCCAACTAAAAAATGTGTGTGCGATATGTGAATGCATCACAAGCTGTGTCTGTATGGCTACTAGTCTGTTCATGTCCTTCACTTTGTATGACCTTGAGCAAATAACCTTTTCTTGTGCTGCTCTGTCCTTGGTATAGTATTTACAAATCCATGATAACTAGCTTCGTCGGCACTCTGGGGTCCTGCCAGAGGTTTTTGGCTGCTGTGATAGTGATGGCTGGCCTAATGCTGAAAATGGCAATGGATGCGTGGGCTGCACCACATTAGGGGTATGTGTGTGTTTGCCTATTAAAAATTTTGTGTGTTACCTGGACAGAGTAATGCAGTGAGACTACAATGGTAAGCTAATAGAGAACGTGATCATTGAGCTGCTGTTGATATAGAGCCTCTCAGTTGACTGTGGTGTCATTGTGATCAGCCGCCATGTTAAGCTTCCAGCTTGCTGATGCCTGGAGGGAGCTACTGGTATGGGATCTGCTTTTCGATAAGAAATGTCTGCAATGTCCTCTCACCCTCACTCAAAATGCTGCATGATGACTGTTTGACAAGCATTCCTGGGACATTCCACTTTGTTAGCTTCATATCAGAGTTTTTTGAGGAGCTTCAGTCATAATGAGTTCATGTTAAGATGTTGTTTTATGTCCCATCTGCTTGAGTCAGAGCTGACCTCCTGAGCTTAGGGCCATGCGGTCTATCTGTCTCATTGTCTTCGTGTTTGTGTGGCCACTCTGGCCTAATCTGTCTTCATAAAGTGTGTCTTTCTCTTGACCTGTCTACATAGCTATTGCTCATTCCATTCACCTAGCTCCCACCCCCTTCTTCTAACATCCTTCCCACCTCACCTAGAGTTCAGCCCCCCTCACCTAGAGTTCAGCTCTGCTCTCATTGTTTATGACACAGTAACATATCTATTATAACGCCTTAATGAGCCAGATATGTTTTATGCATGGCACAGTTTGTCCCTTTAAGCTTCTTTGCATATGTGTGATATAAGTGAAACACTGTGGCACAGCTGAAACTTGAGAATTCTCCAATAAAACATGCTGAACAAACTATGCATTACTACTTCAGAATCAAAATCGTCTTTAATAGCCAAGTCTGTTTGAGCATACAGGAATCTGACTCCGATACAGAGGCTCTCACTGTGTTTTAAGACAACGGGAATAGAAAATAACTGATACATTGGTTATATTTACAATTTACTGCACTAGGTGATTGCTGTGTCCAGTCATACAGTCATGGATTAAGTGTTCTTCAGAGTGATGGAATGGGGGAAGAAACTGTTTTCTTGATACTTTTACAATACTGACTCTTAACCAAGTAATTACCACCTGCGAGAGCTACATCTCACTAAATACACTCGCTGCTAAATGAAATGTTCTGTTATTTTAGTTACAACTCAGTGAGCACTGTTTGTAATTTTTCTCGCATGTGGGCCACTGAAATATCACCATGTTGTCATGTTGTTTTGTAGAACGAATACCCTTTCAGTGGGACTATGTTTTCTTGCATGGTGGGGGGTGGGGGTGGGGGGCCACCATAGTACCATGTGATGTGAGAGTTCACTGCATTTGACCCAGTTCACCTTTCATTAGCTCCTCTATGTGACATATCCCAATAATTGTAATGACAATAGGCCATATATCTCAAGAGTGACCTAGGATGAAAGATTAATGTGACACTGCATTATGTGTGTGAGATACTGTGGGTCTATGTGGAGCAGAAGTGGCGGCTCTGGCCACTCCTGGTTTGCAGAGAGGATTCCTCAGGTGAAAAGTCACTATAACAGGTCTCTTTCTTACCTTCTCTCCCTCTGTTGCTCTTCTCTGTTGCTTCGTTTGTTTATGCTGGAGTGACTGTGCGTCAGCAGGTTGTCAATACTGTCTGTAAGAGACTCTAATGAATAGGCCTGTTATTGGACTGGTGGGAAAGCAACCCACTGTGTCTGTAAGTGCATCTGCTTGTGTTTATGTGTGTGTGTGTGTGTGTGTGTGGCCTGTCAGTGTGTGTAGCACTGCAGAGCAGAGTGAGGTCGAGGTGTCTGTTCTTCTGACTCCCACTCCTTCATTGGCTTCAATGCAGTGCCCTCTGTCAAAGACCGTTCACCGTTAAGAGTAAAGGACAGAGCAGCATGAGAATGTGCACGGTTCATTTGGTGAATTAGTGAGTGATCTGTGATGACTGAGGTTTATTGTACTCAAAACACCCACTGAATGTAAACTTGATGAGTTTTTTTATTTTCAGTACAAGCATACGCTTGAATAAAATGTACAGTTTATGCTACACACACCAGTGCAGGCATCTGCCACCACCAGTAGCCCAGTGTTGTTGCTTTGTGAAGCACAAAAATGCACCTGCGTGTGATTATGGCGTCACATTAGTGCATCCACCAAGACAGCCTGGTTGACTGCTTACTGGGAATCCTGAGGCTACAAGACACATGGGAGTAGAAGCTTGGAAGATGTTGTGTATGCTTCAACAGTCGCTCTAGTCACAAAGTGGAAAGAGGCACACATGATTCCTCACTCTACAGCTCTCTGGTGTTTCCAAAGTGCCACTGTTGGTATTATCACAAAAAATGTTTATTGTCATCCACTTTGCAATTCTGATATATCTTATTGATATCTGACATGTCTGATTGCTTTTTGTTGTGATTAATATTCATATGTATGTTATACCCTAGGATTTCCTTATCTTCTCTGCTTGGTGTTACTGACTCTGTAATAATTTCTGATTGCATCTGCACACACCAGCATTTGTAAAGAATCTATATGTGGAATTTGGAGATATATGTAGACATATAAATGAGAGAGCAACAGTGTGCAGGTGCACTTATAAATCACATTTTATTTCAATTGCACATTCAGTTACACAAAATTACAACAATCTGCTACTGCAGTGCATGAAACAGCAGAAGGTCTGTCCCCCTGTACTGTATGTCAGAGTTATAAAAATATGTAAATTGATGTCCTAGGTGTTTCCTCATAATCAGTCATGCTAGCCAAATGAAAAAGTCAAACCGTTTTCTTGATTAACTAATATGATAATTTAGTAACTGTGTTGGAAGGTACATGAATAACAATTTCTCAAACAGCAGCCAAGCATTTAAAAAAACTGAACAAAACGAACATTTGGCAGTGATAGATGTTGCATTAATCATGCCTGCTCTATTTCTGCGTGCTCAGATGAGAAGATGGGTAGAAGAGAAGGGGGAAGAGAGGCAGGCAAAATGGAGTGAAAAGTGTCC